ATAAGAAGAAATAAAATTAAACAAATAATTCTTTTTTAAAAAATGACTGTGTTAGAGGTACTATCGCTCTGTCTTGCTCAATCATGGAAGAAACAAACTTTTTTTTAAAAAAAGTGAACAGTAGAATCTGGGTGGCGGTGTACAATGTTCACTCTAAAATCTTTTTGTAAAAAACTTTTCAAAGTGTTGTATAAAATGTTGGGGACCAGCAGTTGGCGTAATGGCTATGTTGCTGACCTCCCACGTAGTCGACCATAGTTCAAGTCCTGGGCCCAGTAGCTTCAATCCATGCTGGGTGCGTGTGCATGCATGGCCAAGATCCCAAGAGGAGAATGGAGGAGAAGGGATTGTGGCGTGGCCATGCCCCCTGGGGAGTGATTTCTTGCTTTCTGTCTCTCTGTCTCTCTCTGTCTCTCTGGCGAGCACATGTGCCCTCTAGCAAAAACCTCTCAAAAAATTGTTGAAGGATAAATATCTATTATTAAGGGCCTGGCTTATTATGTTTGAGTCCTTTGGGGAAGCCTTTCTAGATTTCTTGAATTACTTGTGTGACCTGATACCCATTGATGTCTCTGGGACCTCTTTCATGACACTGGTTATTGTTTGACAGCAAAACTGATTTTCTCCCTGTAGCCCTCAGGTTGGGCATTGAACTCTGCAGTCAGACACCCTGTCTTCCATTGTTCTCCATGATGGGCTGGACAGACTTGAGACACAGAAGAAGATGGTCCCCAAATGACTGTAGGATTAGTGTGGGAGAATAGCCATTATCTTGAAAGTTAACGCCGTTGAAGGTCTTTTTGTAATGTACGGTTTACTGGGTCAGTCACGTGGATGTGTGTATTAGCAGAATTAGAGAAATGAAGGTTAGCGTTTCTAATGCCCAGCCTTCTGATTATGGCTGTAAGTCAGGACTGTGCTATGTAGACGGGAAACCCCTTCCAGTTCCATCGGTGGTGGCTGGTTTTGCCTAGCTCTGGGTTCTTAGTCAGGGAAGTTTGCATTCTGCCCCTCAGCAACATGATGTAAATGCAGGACATGGCCCATCTGGCCCACCCCCATCTGAGGACAGCACTAGAGACATACTAGGGCTCAGGATGTCCTATACGCGTTGTGGGCAAGACACCAATCAGAAACTGCGTATATTTTGTGCGTGCACGCGCGTGTGTTTGTGTACTCCCAAGCAGCAAAAACATACTCCAGAATTATTTGGAATGGCATACTTGTTTCCCTAATGGGTGAGTATAGATCTTTTAATTTGGGGCCTGCAGGTGGTGTGGTGGTTAGGCTTCTGTACTCCCACGTGGCTGACCACAGTTTAAGTCCTGGACTTGGAAGCTTGCTTTCTCATTTTCTCTTT